CATGTACCATGTAGATAAACTTGGGCAAAGACCAAATGTTCTCAGATAAACCTTGCCTATGTATGTATTATATTCCTTGATCTTGTTGTATGTATAATTTGTAATATTGGACTAATATTGCTCCTTCTGGTTTTTTTTTAAATAGCTAGGCATTATTTATCTCTCACATTGTCTAACCCTTCCACCATGGTTTCCCCATTTAAGGTGCTCCCATTTTCCCTGTTTCTCCTTTAATAATACCCTTCTCGTATGGTCCCACCCCTCTTGAGCTCCTTCTTTCCCTTTATCCCCTACGTTCCTTGTATAACCTTCCCTCCCCCTCCCCTTAAAATAACCCCATTTTTATCCAGATCTCTCGACACCTTGACCAGTTGTGGCCTTCTGTATGCATCACACTCTGTTATGTGCAGAAGATTCACTGGTGAGAGATGAGAGATGCATTAGTAGTCACTTTACCCACTGTTTCACTATGTTTCATGAGGTGTAGAGATTCCATTATAGATGTGTCACTCAGGGCTGGACATCTCTAAGACATATATTATCTGTGTGTGACCAGTTGTGGAACTCTATCATGGTCTCCATCTTTTGAGGAAGGAAGATTCTTCAGTGAGTGGTGAATGGTAAACTTGTCTGTAAGTATAAGAATTCATATTTAGTACACAATAAGAAATTATATTTTTCTATAGATAAGACAGAGAAAAGATTTTTCCTAGAATCTAAGACTTCTCCAGCCATGTGTATTTGGCAATATTTACAGTGCCACCTATGAGTTCCCTCTGATTTATTCCAGTTAGATAGCTTGATTATCCCTAAGATAAATGTGCCAGTACTGCACCTCTATAGTTTGTTGTGCTGTTTGTTATTGTGATTAGTAAGCTTTAAAGCTGAGGTTGGACCTTTGATTGATTTTCTTCCTTAGCAGCTTGCATAGTGTCCTCTGGAACTATGATAGTTTGTCTTCAGGGAAGAGGCTTCCATTTCAGTTCCAGTTTCACAGCTCCCAGTCCTATTTCTGAAGTATGTCCTGTCTTGAGCAATAGGGTCTTATCTTCAGTTTCTGTGCTGCCACAACAGCCTGTGTTATTTTGGAGTCTCTTGGACTACATTCACCAAAACCTTGAAGGGAGATTTCTCTAGTTTGGCACTGTGTTTCTTGTTATATAGCCTTCAGGTATAGACATGAATTCATTCTCTCATTTTGCATGTGTATTTTTCAGTAACTTTTAGAGTAAATACATTTTCCTCTGGTTTTTCACACCACCTAAGCTTCATTTATCTCTTCTCTGTCTCTCCCTATCTAACCTCCCTCCTCCCTCCCCAGTTAAAGTACTCCCATTTTCTCCATTTCCCCTTGATAATACCTATCTTCTATTATCCCCCTCCCTTGAGCTCCTTCTCTTTTACCACCCATGGTTCCTTGCATGTCCTTTCGTCCTTTCTTCCCAGTTGAATACCCCCATTTCATCCATTTCCCCCTTGATTACATCTGTTTCCTACTTTCCCCCCTCTCTTGGGTTCTTTCTTTCCCTTTATGTCTGTGGTTCCTCTCCTTTTTCTTGGCTCCTGGGGTTATATCAGGATTTATACTCACGTATAAGGGTTTGGTGCTAAGATCCACAAATGAAGGAGAACATATGTCGCTTGATTTTCTGAGCCTGTGTTACTTTACTTAATACAACAGTTTATAGTTCCATCCATTTACCTACAAATTTAATGATTTTATCTTTCTTTACCACTGAGTAGAATTCTATTGTGTAAATATACCATATTTTCATTATCCATTTGTCAGTTGGAGGACATATAGATCCTTTCCATTTGTTATTGGTTGTTAAAAGAACAGTAATAAAAATGGATTTACAAGTATCTTTGCATTAGGATGAGTCCTTTGAGTATATGTCAAGGAGTAGTATAACCAGATCATATGGTAGCTTCATTTTTAGTTTGTTTCCATAGTGTTTGCATGAGTTAGGAATCCCACCATCAGTGAATGAGATAGCATGCTTCTAGTAAGCTGCTTTGATATCAACACAGCACTGATTTATAGAACAAAAGTGAGTAGTCTCCCTTCCAAATATCACACAAATATTTTGTAGGGGTATGGAAGGATTCAAAGAAGAAAGGAAGAGGAGAGTGAAGTAAGGAAAGATGAATGAACACTGAATGACGTTAAGAAACATGCTGCTAATCAGGCCTATAAATCAGCATGTTTCCTTGGTTCCTTCTTGTTATTTCAAACATAATTCACATAGCTTCTACCCAAGCCAATGTACATATTAGACTTCTATGTGTACCCCACAAATTTTAACATCCTTCTTGTAAGTTAAATTTACTACTGGGAGGGGTAAAGATTGCTCCCAGGCTCCCAGTGTGGCCCCTTCCTCCCACTGCCCTTACAACAAATAGAGACAATATTCCTCCAAACTACAGTTTAGGGAATAAACATATTTATTGGGCTTGCTAACAAAGCATAGGGTGGCAGTGAGGGGGTACTTACAAAGATATGAACACCTTTGGGCCTTTTTCCCCTACATTCTGTCTGTGGCTTCCTGACCTGCTACCAGCCAGTCCAAGGTGGCAAAGTGAATTTTCTCTCCCTGACTTCTCCTGTCCCTATCCTAATCCCTCCCCCTCATGCAGTTAAGGCTGACTGATTGGGTGGGAGGAGTGACAGTTTCCCTCTGCCCTTTCCCTCCTAAGGAGAGTCTTGTAGTCCAATTAGTTTGAGGTGACTGAAGCAAGCAGGTGAAAAGCTAGAGAAGAAGGCATCTATGAATTGCTTGCCGGTCCAGCTTGCCACTCCAGAGTACAAGCTTATCCAACACTTCTGAAGTCTGGAAACTCACTAAGTGAGAAATAATATGTGCAAGGTTGAGGTACATAAAAAATGATCCAGTTCAATTACCCTACAGAACTGCTTCATGAACGCAGCAAGAAATTTGTACTTGTTAGAACAAGTAGAACAATTCTTATTTAAATATATATATATATATATATATATATATAGAGAGAGAGAGAGAGAGAGAGAGAGAGAGCGAGAGAGAGAGAGAGAGTAAGACAGAAGCTTAGCATGGATGGGGGCATGGGCAAGAAGCCCCAGCCCTAGCTGAAGATCTAGTGGCAATTGTTAGATAATGGGAAAGAGGGGTCATCCTTTTTTTCCTCCTTCCTTCCTTCCTTCCTTCCTTCCTTCCTTCCTTCCTTCCTTCCCCTCCCTCCCTCCTTCCCTTCCTTCCTTCCTTTCCTTCTTTCCTCTTTTCTTTTTTGAGACAGGGTCTCCCTGTAGCCCCAGCTGGCCTGGAACTCACTATGTAGACCAGGCTGGCCTTGAACTCAGAGAGATCTGCCTGTCTCTGTCTCGCAAGTGCTAGGATTAGAGGTGGGCACCACCACATTTGGCAAGAGTCATCTTTCTTTACTGGCATGAAGCCAGGTAGGTTGTCCAGACTCCAAGAGATGGACCCACATCCAAAAGTACTTGGGAAAAGATTAGATTCTATACGTATTTTAAAAAGACAATATAAGACATGAAGTCGAGGAGGGGTAGTAAAGTGGGAGTAAGAAGAGTGGAGGGGGGTTTGAATATGATCAAAATACATTGTATGAAATTCTTGAACCAATAAAAATATTTTTAAAATGTATGAAAATATGTGCATGGTTACTATTAGTTTTACTATCTGTGTCCTATATTTTAATGACACAAGGTGAGATAACAGCACACTATGATAAGGAGTTTCTCTAATTCTGATAATGCAAATGAGAGGCTACATATGAAACTCTGTCTTAACATTGTATAAATTTCCTACCTTCTTCAGTGAAATAGTCCACATATTTAAGGACCTATTTTGTAATTCCCTGTGCTCATTTTTGCATTTCTTTTATGTCAAAGGCATTGGATAGGCTAAAAGGGAAAGGAAGGAGGGGAAGACCACAAAGTGAGATGAAATGAATGAAAAAGCGAGCAAACTAAAATTTGGTTAAATAATTTGTTTTGCATTATGGTGGAAGTTGGTCCCTTGAAAGCATGTAACATATTGGTCAATACACAAGGAAAAAAAAACTCAGAAAGTTGAAAAAATTCTGACTGATTTTATCTTTTGTTCTTTCTCTTAATATTGTCTTGAACAAATAATCTGGTGACAGATGGGCAGAATTCAGAGAACTTTGGTATCGAGATGTAGGTGAAAATCACACGAGGACAGGCTTTTCTAGAAAAGTCCTATTATGTGGTTGATTCACACGGGTTGAAAGTATTGCTTGAAGACTCTGTGGAGTGTTTAGGAATTTCGTGATTGATACCAGGCAGTACAAAAGTTCTCGCTGTACTTTTAGTACCGGTATTAATCACTTTTTTTGTGTGTATGAGCATTTTGCGCCCATGCATGCAATGCAGAATGAGGCCAGAAGGGGCATTAAATCCGCTTGAACTGGAGCTACAGACAGTTGATATCCACCTGTGTGGGTACTGGGAACTGAACGTAGGTCCTCTGCAAGAGCAGCCAGTGCTCTTAACCACTGAGCTATGTCTCCATGTCGCCATGTCTCTTTAATATAGAAAAACATTTGTGGTTTTTGTCATTATTTGGAGGTCTGTAACATCACATATACTCATCTGCTCTTTTCAATTTATTGTTCAGAGACACATGAGCTTAAAATTGTATTTTAATTATTTCTATTTCTACACTAGTAAACCTATGAAATTAATAAATAAAAAGAGAAAGTTTTTCCTGTTCTGAAGAACTTAAAGTAATCATCCCTCTTCTATATGTCTAAGAGATTACTTCATATAAATATTATTCCTTAGTAATTGAGGTACTTTATTATTATAATTTCAGCTATATAAATATATGGAATGTCTGTTTTCATAGGAAAATGTTACTTCCTCCTAAATATAAGGCAAAAAGTCATACTTATGGTATAGATAGGCATATATCAAAATAGGCAAATAAAAATATTCTCAGAGGTTGATAAACAAATTTGAAAGCTCAGAAGCTCAGTTAAGACTGTTCACAATGCTTCTGCTCAAGAGATTCGATCATTAACCATTAACTGTCTGAATAATCTCTTCATTGCCATCTTCATTTCCTGATTCCTGAATGTGTAAATCACAGGGTTCAGAAAAGGGGTGACAATTGCATCAAATATGGCCAGGAATTTATCCAGGTCTGTGTAGGATGAAGGCCATGTATAGAAAAATATCACAGGACCAAAGAATAAGGACACCACTGTAACATGAGATGAAAGTGTGGACAGAGCTTTGGAGGAGCCACTTGGAGAGTGTTTCTGCACAGTGAATATGATGACTATATAGGAAAAGATGAGTATGAGGAAGGAGGCCACGGACATGAACCCGCTATTGATTGAGACCAGTAATTCCATTGGGTATGTGTCTGTGCAAGCAAGTTTGATAAACCTGGGAAAGTCACAGTAGAAGCTGTCTAACACATTTGGTCCACAGAAAGCTAAGTTTAATACAAAAACTAGTTGAACTAGAGAATGCGTAAGGCCAACCACCCAGGCAGCCACTAAGAAGGAGATGCACATTCCTGGATTCATAATAGTTAGGTAGTGCAGAGGCTTACATATGGCCACATATCTGTCAAAGGCCATGGCTATGAGCAGCACCATCTCCACACCACCAATAACATGAATGAAGAAGATTTGAGTTATGCAACCTTTAAAGGAGATGACTTTGTACTTTCTGAACAGGTCATATATCATCTTTGGAGATGTAACAGAAGAAACACCTAAGTCAACGAAGGACAGGTTGGCCAACAGAAAGTACATGGGAGAGTGTAGGTGAGGGTCAGAAGCCACTGTGAACACAATGAGGGAGTTTCCCATCATGCTTGCCACATAAAACATGGAGGAGAACACAAAGAGCAGTAGCTGGGTCTGCCAGGAGGCGGTGAGTCCCAGGAACACAAACTCTGACACCACGGAGAGATTTGCTCCTTCCATTGGCTTTGGTATTAGTCCTACCTGAAAGAGGAAACAGGAGAAACTGAAAGTTGTAATTATGTTAATAAACTAGAAGAGGAAACTCAATTAATGAAAGCCTATTTTTACATTAGCATCTAAACTAACATAAAATCAGAGATGTCAACAAGTGCTGAACATGACTAATTATCAGAGAATTATAAATGAAAACTATTGGAAATGTCTCATACCCATGTAAAGAAATTTTAACAAATTCAAAAGATAAGTTTGGTGCGCTGTTAAAAGTAGGGTATATTTATAAACTGTTGATGAGTATAAATTAATACACCATTTATTGAAAGTGTATGGAGGATTTTGACAAATATAGATTGAATTTGTAGCACAATAATAGTGTGCTTGCTTAATACATTAAAGTCCTGAGTTTGATTTCCAACAATGTAAAACAAAATGAGAAGTGGAAGGATTGTGAGGGGAGATAGTAAATTTAAGGACATATGTCCAGAAGAAATGACATTACTATGTCAAATACAAGTCCTTCCGTTTTCATTGCAGCATTTTTCATAAAAATGAACAATGTGCAAACAACCAGTGTTAGGTGAGTGCACAACACACACACACACACACACACACACACACACACACCACACACCACACCACACACACACACACTATTCACCTTTTAAAAGGAATCCTGTGTTTTGTAATAATGTGAAGTAACCTGGAGGTTTTTGTAGTAAGTGAAAATAAAGAGTTACAGAAAGTCAAACACTAAAAGATTTCAGTAAAAGTGGAAACTAAAGAAGCCACACTCACAGAAGCAGAGAATCTGACTGTGGACCATGAGCAAATGAGGTGGAGTTGGAGGGAATATAGAATGGAAGATATTTGTCTAAATGGAAAAAATATACAGCTAAATGGGATGGGTAGTTCCTGCAGATTCATTGCACAGCAAGGTGACCATGGTAAAAAGAACTGTACCTTGCATATTTGAAAACTGCTAAGAGTAGATGTTCAATGTTCTTATCACAAATAAGTAAGTGAGGTGAATATGTTAGTCAACTTGATTTACTCATAGAACAATATTCACATGTATTAAAAATTCTCATTATATATATACATAAATATATGCATTTATTTTGTAATTGTAATTCTATAAAAACTGGAGGAACACCGGGTGTGGTGGTGCATGCCCCTAATTCCAGTCCTTGGGGTACAGAGACAAGTGGATTTCTTGTGAGTTTGAGGCCAGCCTGGTCCACGTAGTTTCTAGGTGAACTGGAGCTAGGGAGACCTTGTCAAAAACGCACTAAAGCAAAGCAAAGCAAAACAGAACAAAAGAAAACAAAACCAAAACAAAACAGAACAAAAATAGTGAGGAACAAAAATCTATTATATTCATGTTCTGAAATGGTGATCATATATAGAAGCTGGTGGCAGTCAAGTAGTGTTGTTATGTTCCATAGAAATTACGAATTTAATAACAATTTACTTTCTCCCAGTATGAGCAGAGATGTTCCTTATGAGACAGGAGATCAGTCAACACTGGAAACAGCAATTCATCCCCAAGTTCATTCATTTGGATTAAAATCTGTTATATAATTTGGTTCAGGCACACACACACACGCACGCACGCACACATGCACGCACACACACACACACACACACACACACACACATACACACCCCCCCAAGCACACAATCAAACACCCTTCTGAAGTAGTGATGCATGTTTAAGGCTAAAAACCTTGCTCTAACATATAAATCCTTCTTTTTCACTAATCATCACTGGAAAATATTTAACTTCCATATTTACTATAGCCATTGGATCTTGCTTTATTTCATTAGCATTATTTTACTTTCCCTTTAACTGAGTTAAGTGGACCCAAGTCTAAATCTCCAAAGAGACATTTATATTTTCACTCTCTGAAACAACGGAAAAGTGGTTCACAGAGAATGGCAAGTCTTTCACCTGTCAGTTAGACAGCGTGCATCATGTTGAGAAGTTGCTCTAGCAATTTGACATCACAACAAATCTCAAATGTCAGGATTTGCATTCTTCCATAGTATCTGTCCATCAACCACTGGGGATGAAATTGAATTAGTACCCAGAGTTAATTTCACAAGCTCTAAGCTCAAGCTTCTCAAAGACATAATTTTTCACTGTTATATAAGATTTATCATAGTATATTGTAAGTTTAGTTTTATTTAGAAAAAGAACATTGCATAGTAGACTGCATATGGACTCTGGATTCAAAATCTAAGATTAATATCATGATTCAGCCAGTGACTATCATCGTTTACCTTTTGGCCTTTTAAAATCAGACAAGATACTTGAATCCGTGAACCTTAAATTTATTCAGCTTTTGAACAAATTAAAAAGCGACTTCTGCTCAGTTATAGGAACAAAGATCACAATCATGTATCCAGCAGATAGCTATTCTATATGTAGGTATTCATTAGATGTTATTAGTCCTTTTCTTCTTTTCACTTGCTCATAATAGTGTCCGACATATGAGACTAATTAATTAAAAACATGAGAATGTCAATAAACAGAGAGAGCAAACTTCTATGTCCAAAATAAATTTCAAAGTATATTAACTGCCAGACGTGGTGGCTCATGCCTTTAATCCCAGCACTCGGGAGGTAGAAGCAGGCGGATCTCTGTGAGTTCAAGGCCAGCCTGGTATACATAGTGAGTTCCAGGACAGCTACAGGGATACCCTGTCTCAAAAAAGACATTATATATATATAATTCTTTTTTT